CGGTGGCTCATAACCATCTGTAGTGGGATTTGATGGCCTCTTCTGGCATGCAGGCACACAGGCAGGCAGAACACTGTATAAATAATAAAGAAAATATTTTTTTAAAAAAACCTGTTACAACCAACAAAAACCACAAACCTGGTCCAGACAGGTGTCTCTGCAGTTAAGCTCACTGGTTGTCTTTGCAGAAGACCAAGGTTTGGTTCCAAGGACTTACTTCTCAGCTCCCCATCACCCGTGACACCCCCTTCTGGCGTCCAAGGGTGGCACCATATACATGCAGGCGTGATAATAAAATAATCTTAGTTTTAATAAGTACCTGGCCCAGCAGGTACTTAGCATATTTCCGGCCCAGGGTTCCACCCCCAGCTCCCTGAAACAACAAATGGGATGGGAGGCATTCGTTCACAGACGAATTTCACCACATTTTCACCATTACTATATTTACTGCTCCTTCATACAGAACAGGAGGAAGAGAAACGTAAACAGAAGCCACACCCATGAAAGTCTAGTTAGGCTAAACATTAGTCTGACGCTCAAATGAGCGTATCACAATATATCCCACCGTGGAATGATGCCGGCCTGCATTGTATTAAAGACCTAACTTTAACCATTTGGCAGGTGTACTCAACAAATATGCATGCTGATGTGAAATGACTAAATACAAGTCACTAGGCAAAAGCTGTAGGGCAAACGGCATCACAGGCTCAGGAGAGAAGACCCGTGAGTCAGTGTCTCCTCTTCATCTTTATTCACGTCAACATGTATCTCAACTGTTCTTTTTAGTCAAAGCTTGTTTTCTACCTCGAGCTTTTTAGTTCCTGCCACATTCCTGTTTGAGTCTTTTTTTACAGCTCAGTATATGCACCAGAAGTATAGAAATGGGTTCCACCCCCATTTCATTACCTAAAAATAAATTCATTAACTAAAAATAAAAATTCCTCCATTCAACACATTTTTGAAAGACTCTGAGAAGTTAAAAACCGTTATGTGGCAAGCTGCTTGGTGGTCTGCATTCTTCAGGCCCCACTTGAAAACAAAGCGATATTCCCCAGAAGAGCCAAAGGACCTCCTCCTTCTCACTCCACTTTATCACAAAAGAATGAACAGCATTTGCCATCCAACATTTGGCCATGCAACACCTACTTGTAGAAAGCAGAGAAAGGAAGAGAGTCAGGCCTGATGTTAGAAGAGCCTCAGAGACACACGGTGGGCAAACACAAACAAAAGAATTGCAGAGCATGCTCAAGACAGAATCCATGCTGTTCAACAATTCCAGGCTCCCAGGAAGATTCTGCATGTGCGGCTCCCAAGGGTGTGGTGGAACTACACTTAGAGTTCTCCAGAACTAAGTCACATGTGTTTTACACAGTTCTGCCCACCTCTCAGATAGCAAAAGCAGCCCTCACACTCAGTTCTTACAATCTGCTACTACCTACCGTGAAAAGGTCACAATTGATCTCAATACAAATGCAGTTTTAGCTAGCAATTGTTTTTGCTTCACCCTAAGCTAGCCAATCTTGACATATATGGAACTGGTGGCTGGCTTTGCTGTTTATTCCTCACATGATATTAAAGTGTAAGAACTGAAAAACGGAGCTTCGGGCCAGCAACACCACTGCCCAAATGCAAGCTGACCTCCTGGTGCTCCGGAAATTAATTGCCAAACTCTACGAAGCACATGTCTAAATCAAGTGGGGGGTGGGGTGGGGGGAAGAGCAGAATTCCAACTCACAGCTCTCAGGACACAAAACACCACAAGGCTACCTGACTGCTTTCCTGGGTACCATCTCAAATTAGCACCAGTCATTACAATAACAGATATTGGACAGAGTTCCTTTTAAAGCTTATTAAAGCTAACACCTCCTTGGACCTTCACAAATGTTGCAGGTGTATGGAGGACTGCTACTAAAAATGAATGAATGAATGAATGAATGAATGAATGAATGAATGAATGAATGAAGGGAGGGAGGGAGGGAGGGAGGGAGAGAGGGAGGGAGGAAGGGAGGGATCATCACAAAATTTCCTGTGCTGGTTCAGAGGCCATTAAATGGTTTTCTACTCTTAAACCAAGTGCATGTGAACTCTGATGTGCTAAACTCACCAAGCTGGTGTTGGGTTGGGCCCTGACTCTTGAACTTAGGATCCAGAGACTCCCAAATGGACTGGCTAACATGCTCATTTGCTTCCCTCCACCCAAGACTGGGAAAACCAGGATAGCACCCTGCCAGAAATCATCTTTACCTCTCAACATCAAGGCTGCTGGGCACAGGTCACTTGGAGCAGAAGCTTTTGCATCCCTGATGGTTGCTGCGGATCTAACGAATGAGGCGTTTTATTGGGACACAGCTCTCAATTGAGATAAATCTTTAATATGGCCAGGCTGCTTAATGGGATTTGTTTTAGGGACTAGGCAAGGAATTCCCTGATGGCTAATATCTTGGGAGGCACTGAAAGGTTGGGTGGTCATTGGTCCTTCCCAATCCCACAGCTGCCCCACGGCACCCACACCTCAATGCCCAAGCAAACCGAAATGTCCTTTTGAAACAACTACTATTGAACAAGAGCTAAAGGTGGACTAAAGTGACCCCACCTAGTTTCAATCTGTCTCCTTAAAAAGATAAACTCCCAAGGATCAAAAATTTTGTGAAAAGAAAATTAGTGGGAGGAATCTTTCCCAAGCACTCAGAGGTATTCAAAAAGCACTCACCACTCACACTGGAGGTAGCCAGTTAGCTGTGATCTGTCGTCAGTGTACAAGGAACTAGATCAAGGGTTAAGTAAATTTAGGCAGAAGTCACTGCAAATGAATTCCCCAGATACACTGATGAATCTGGTCTTACTTCTAAGCAAACCTCAGAAATGGTACCATTCATTGGGAAGGGAGACGAGTAGAGTGTTTACTATGAGAGCAGCTCACAGGTCTGTTAGGAGACCCAAACTATTAATCAGTACATTAGGAGTTCCTGTGATCCACCTTGCCAAAGCTCTGTAGTTGGCATCTAAGGCCTTCCAAAGGGAGTTAGTTGTACAACCCCTTCCATGTCTCAGATTTTTCATTTTTCAACTATCTGGCACTTCCTACCTATACTTCTAGACCTCACCTCCCTTATCAACCCCAAATCCTTCACACTAAAATGCTGGGACCAATGACCACTGTGACCCTAACAACACCCAGTGAGCACACTGTGAGGTAGATTCCTTCCCAGCCGTCCTCCATCTCGGCTGACATCAGGAAGTGTGTGCCCACATGCTTGTCCCCCGAAAGAATCCCCAAAGGGATGCAGAGAAGACAATCCCACCCTTTGTTGCATTTCTGAATAGCAGAGTGCATCTGTGTCACACACGCCCTCTCCTAGTGCCAGGAATCATTTAAAGCCAGATCTGTCTACAGCAGGCCACCATTCTGGTGTTCATGCTGGTGTTACTAGACCCCTGCAAGCAAAAAAAAAAAAAAAAAGCAGTCTTGGTCAAGTCTGTATCTTCTCAACCTGACTAGCACTAAGTAGGTGCTCATTAAATGCTAGCTCAGTGGTACTGAAAAGCTGCAGCTGGGGTGACAGCTCAAAAATATGCTTGTGGCCCTCTGTTCAATCCCAGAACTACATACCCACAAAAACAATCTCTCTCTCTCTCTCTCTCTGTCTGTCTCTGTCTCTGTCTCTGTCTCTCTCTCTCTCTCTCTCTCACACACACACACACACACACACACACACACACACACATGACTGTACCAGATTTTCAAAAAGAAAAATCCTTTTATAAATCTTTACAAGAAGCTCTGTTTGGGGAGAAGGCCTGAAAAGCCACTGTTACCTTGGCTAAAGCCCCCTCCCCTTATCTCATCTCCCCAAGAACAGCACCCTGCCATACTTCTAAACGGCACTGTTGGTGCCATTTATTCCTTGCACATTTCCTTACAAAACATTGGATGAAACACAGGACTTTTACTTATCATTGCATTCCCCACCCCGAAGCGGCATTACTCAAGAAAATTTACTGAATTAGCTAATACACCCTTATCCTAAGCAGGACAGTAAATGGCACTTTAGAACAAATGCAATTACTTCCTACTACCTTCTCAGCTAAAACTGCCTTCTTCCCGGGTGACCCTGACAGCCCGCTCTCCTGGGCAGAAATCAGGATGGGCCTGATTTCTATAAGGGCTTGTGGGCACAGCCAGCACAGACCACCTAGGAAGCTGTGGAGGTGTGCTGGGATTCCACAGTGGAGGCAGGGAGTGAGCAGAGCAGGGCAGTTTCTGGGAGGGGATGACTCCTCACTGGGAACCTCAGGGAAGCCACAACCATTATTACACAGGTCAGACAGTCGCCGGAGAAGCAACTCAGCCTGAGAACTAAAAAGGAAAATAGAAGGGGGGAGTGGGGGGTGGCTGTATTCCATTACTGAGTCCTGGCAGGTTCCCTCCCGAGTTCTTCACATTTCAAGAATGTGAACAGGCCTGAGGTCGAACCCCCTGATTATTTATACCTTAAAATAAACTACCGTGTAAAAAGCGGAAACTTAACAAATGGAGATATAAAATAAAAGGCACTGATGACAGGTAAGATACTACCAGAATCCAAACCATTCATCACTCCTCTCTGGGGCTTCTTCCAAAAGCCCGTCTCTATTCCCTCCTGCAAAATAAGCTGTACCGCGGGGGCAGCTGACTGGAAAGGAGAGTGAGGGTCTGGATACCAACGAGTTCTCCGTCCCTCTCAGTACACGGCTAGAACCTCTGCACACACACAAGCGTCCAGCCGGCGACCCCAGGCACAGAAAGTCTTGGGAGCCGACGGGGCGCTGGGCTCCACGCTTTCCCCTCACTTGCGATCTCATCTGAAAGCCAAGTGACTTCGGAGAGGCCGCGAGCCACCAGCGTCGTCCCAGCAGTCCTCCCCGCGCTAAGGACCCCTGCTTAACCACAACCCGAAGAGACCGAGCCCGGGGGGACGGTGGGGAGCCGCTGGCCGCCCCGGCCCGGGGGCAAAACTTACGCGCAGCCAGCCCGACAGCTCCCGCCGCGGTGGGAACCCGCGGTCTCCCCGCACCGGCATCTCGCGCGCGCCTCCCGCACGTCCTGCTCGCCGCGGCCCCGAACTACACAAGCTGCAGCAGCGGCGGCGGCGGCGGCGGCGCCCCGTCCGCCACCTAGGGGAGCCTCCCCTTTGTCCCTCCTCCCGCGGCGCAGCCGGCCCGCCCCGCGCCTAGCTGCGCCCACGCCGGCCGCCCGGCCGGGGAGACTCCGGCGGCCGCTACCACCCCCGCCGCCGGGGGCGGGGGGGACGCGTGCTCTCGGGCGCCACTCCCGAGGCCCCGCGGCGACCAGCGTCCCGCGCTCCGGTTCCTGGCCGCCGGAGGACGACCCGGGGCGGCGGGAGGCCCCCGAGCTCGCGCGTCCCGCCCGCACCCCCGCCCCGCTGGCCGGATGGTTCGCTCCGCCGCGCGCTTAGGAGCCGGCGGGTCCGGCCGAGCGCGCGCCCGGGAGGAGCGCGGCGCGTCGGCGAGGCTGGCCCGCGTCCGCCGATGCCCGGGAGGTCGCGCGGCGTCCCGAGGAACGCTTTCCGGAGAGCATCGTGGGGTTTCCCACGGGCAGCGCTGGCGCGCTCTTCCAGAGAACAACCGGGGAAACCCCGCCGGGCCAGGCCAGCACAGACAAGGGTGTTACACCCCAAATTTCCCTGCTCCACCGCTGACCTAGATTCCAAGGGTCCAGAGGTGTTCGGATTAAGTAGTAAAGCGGGATTTTTAAAGGGCAGCGTCGGCCAGGCTTAGGAGACTGAAATCCCTCTTTGTCGCTGGCGCTAGCGTATAAAAGACGATGGGTCGCAAAGCTGACCCGACGGGATTCATTCAGTGTCCTTGGTGCGAGAATCGTCGTGCGATTTAAATAAACTGTCCTGTTACAGGGGCGCAGGGAGTGTTTAGAGAATCAAAAACGGATACACTGATTAAACACCTGATGTGGGGTTAGAAGGGAGAGCGTTGTCTCCAGGTGGCCTTCCCTAGCCTTGGTCCACAGATGGAAAGGTAAAAGGTAGAAAGGTCTGGAGAGGCCCATGACGAGATCCAGATGCCGGCGGGCCCTCTGAAAAGTGGCTTCGCTTCCTGTGTAATCGGAACAAGTTTGGCAGTGCGTGTGGAAAAACAAGTCTTGCAGATGCTGCCCTCAGAGCGTTATGCTGCTGGCCTGCTTTGGAGTAGGAAGTCCACGCCTCTGAGTAAGCGCCGTGAGTAACATTTCCCACTTTATCTCCGGTGTCCACAGGGACGTGGGCAGGCCTTCTTGACCGGCCCGGCCCGTCGTGTTTCTCTCCTGATCTAAGCACCTATTTAGAAAGGGTTCTCCAAATTAGGTGGTGCTGGCCTACAGTGGTGATGACTGCACTTGTGAACCAGTCACACCTTACTTTCATGAGCTTATTACGTCAACAGAACATCAGCTGTGGAAGAAAGGGTTCGGAACGGAGTAGTAATTACACCTGCTGAATGGTGGGGCTGTCCGACTGGAGCGGCCCTTGCCGCCTGCCTGTATTTACATTTCACTTTCAGCGAACTAAAATGAGAGGCAGTGAACATTTCAGTTTCTCGGTCACACCACCTGCATTTCCAGGGATCACAGCCACATGTGCCTGATGACTGCACGGGGCAGGGCAGATAAAGAATATTCCCATCGTGGAAATGATGACAGATTTAGATGCCACGATACCAGTTCTTATGACACAGCATAAACTGTTGAAAACTCGATCCAATTGCTACACGGCATTTGTGATGGCAGTATAAGCCATACTACTCAAGTATGTGTGACAAGTGCTTGCTATGTAGCCCAGGCTACCCTCCACCTAGAGATTTGCCAACCTGAGCCTTTGAGGTGCTGAGATTACACATAAATTGATTCCTCTCGTCTGAGAAACAATGTATTTCATAGTGATACAGTATTTCAAACCCACTCTTGGAATTTGCTCCTCCACCCCTCATTTGCAGCACGGTGTCACTATGCAGATCAGGCTAGCCTTCCTCCTGCTATTCCTCCATTACAGCAGTCAGCAAGCAAGAGGAAAACGGAAGTTCTTCCCTATTGATATGGGAGGATTGGGGTTCACAAACAACTTCCCAGGGATAGCTTGCAAATACAAGCTAAGAAGAAGTAAGGCTGCACTTGTGGGACAAAATTAAAGGAAAGGCTCTTCCAGGAGAAAATAATATGTAGAAACAGAGAATGTAGCCCTGAGCCTTCCCTTAAGGTACCATGGTGTCAAGTGGCCCAGGCCAGCAGGTGCTGGGCACCCTTACAAAAATGGGATTAAGTTGGATCTCTCTGTTGTATTCTGGGAAGATGTGGGTTTTGAAATTAGGGTCCAGGGAGCAGTGGTAAGAATTTAATCTGGAGCTAGGCTGTGGTGGTACACACCTTTAATCCTAGACCCTGGGAGGCAGAGGCAGAGGCAGGCCAATCTCTGTTAGTTCAAGGCCTATCTGGTCTATAAAGCAAGTTCCAAACAGCTAGAGCTACAAGGAGAAACCCTGTTTTGAAAAAAAAAAAAAAAAGGATTTTATCTGTACGTAGTAGCATTGTGGGAGAGCAGCAGACAAAATATGATGGGGCTATGAGGTCAGGTGACATTGGATGAAAGGAAGCCAGATTCAAAAGAAACTACTGAGGAAGTGGTTCCACAGACCAGACAACTCCCATCCGTTGTGGAAGTGAGCCCAGCATGGCTCTCAAATTAGAGCATAGACAGTGCCCTGACCACAATGGAGAATTCAGGAGCAGGAGCTGCTCTTGGGAGGGGTCTCAGGAAGGACAATGAATGAGTTTAGTGATGTACAACAATCAAGAGCTATGTGTCAACCAGGCGGGGATGTTCCGCAACCCAAAACTGACAGAATGTCAACTACAGGAGATATTCATGGGCACCTGACTAGAGAGGTCTGGGAACTACCCACGAGTTGTGGAAAGTCTGTGCCATGAGAAGGCATGAGGCCCTTCAGACACCTGAATAGAGGCAAGGATGGACCAAGGACAGGACCTGCGTGTAGGAATGCCAGTCTTATGAACTCTGCAGGACAGAAGTCAGAGCAAACCTCAAAGAGCAGAAGAAACCTGCTGGGAATGAGTGGTCAAGAAGCCATGGGAAGTGTGTGTTTTAGGACAGGCAACATACATACCCAATAACACAGAACCATGAGGAAGCCAGTCGAGAGCTGACTCGGACTGGACATACAGCCGTTGGCAGAGTGCCGAGCCAGTACACAAAGTCCTAGGTCAGACCCCCACCACAACACAATGTGGTGACACACTTGGGAGGTGAGGATAGAAGGATTACAAGTCTCCTTTGTAGACAGATAACGAGTTGAAGGCCAGCCTGGATTATATGGCACCGTCTCTCTTTCAAAAACAAAACAAAACAAAAAAACCTTGTCAATTAAAATGAACACATTTTACGTAGCCTGTGATAAGGACAATAAAGCATGGGAAGTGCATAAAAGAATCAGAAAGTGTATGGAAGAAAATGTTTTGATGACAGCATTATGAACAGAAATTCCCTTTAAAGTTACAGTTAGTGCTTCTGCAGTTTATAAATTACAGTGCATAAGGTTTCTGAAATAGATTAGTTAAAATAAGTCAGCTAAGCATTCAGGAGGCAGAGGCATTCCAGGGCCAGTCTGGTCTACATAGTGAGCTCCAGGCCAGACAGGGCTACACAGTTAAGACTCTGTCTCAAATAAATGAAACGAACAAAAGTGAGAAACTAAGTGTGTTCAGTCAGATCTCCTGCAGAATGCTTAGATTTGCTCACCAAGCAGAGAGAGAAATCTAAGCAACCAACCAGGTCCTACTAGCTGAAGTGGGAGGGGAAGGTCTCCAGTTAAAAGTCTACCTGAACTACACAGTTCCAGGACAGCCTCAACCAAAAACTAAGGCGGGTGGGGTGTGGCTTCCCTAGTCTGAGTGAGCAGCTGGTCCAGCAGTGAAAGAAAAATAAGATTCTTTATACAGAGATATTCTCTCCCCCACCACATACACACCAGAGAATATATTTATCCACAAATGTATCTGTCTGCATGTGTTTAAAACATAGTTACCTAGTTTCTTCAGTTGGGAGCAACCCAAACTGAAAAGTCTCCAGGCTGCTCTCCACGCCTAAGGCAGACTCGAATCATACAGACCCACCCCTTCCACAAACATTTCTTAAATGCCTGCTCTATCCCCTAGGGTGGACAGAGAGAGATAACGACATCATATGCGCTGCTGCCCACAATATGATGAAGAAAAAGATATGCACACAAAAGATGACAAATCAAAAAAGAATTGCCTAAGCAGGAACTAAAGCCTCATGTGATCCCTGACACAAGATGAAATGCCTCCCCTACTTCCTGGTGACTTCTCCCCTAACCCCTGCACCTCCTCTCTCCAAATATTAGTTCTTGATGACCACCTCTTCTACAGCACCACCCTGGCCCACTCCCCTAAAGTTACTTGGGGGGGAGGGCGGTCAACTTATGCTCAGTCCTAATTAGCTATCACATATGGGTCCTTTCATGCTCAAAGGTTCATTTTTATGTTCCCCCTTTCAGGGAGCGTGGGGCTGGTGACTGGCTATCTAGCTTTTCAGATCCTACATTCCTAAAGGGCTGTTTACTTGAATGTGGAGCTTGTAGGGCCACACATTCTAGCCCAACCTGTCCACCCTGACAGGCTAATGATTTATTTCTCCCCTCCCATCTCTACTTCGCTGCAGACGGAACCTAGGGCCTCACAAGCACATTCACACCAAACGTGCACCAACCTGAGCTACAACCCCAGGCTTTAGAATTGTATGATCCTCATTCAAATCGATGGCACAGAGGAACAGAGATGGGCGAGACCCCAGCACACGAAATCATGAACTATTCCACATTTCTGGAAACATGAGCAAAATGCAATTTATATACTATATTCATACATATACATTAGTGAAATAAGTTATTTTGCATACTAGCCAATAACTTAAAAATAGAGGTTGAGGATCAAGAAAGTAAATAAACTGAGAGATTATAATCCATGATAAATACCAAGAGAAAACCAGAGGAAGGGAGATGATCTAATTCCTACAGTTATGCCATTATATCATACATAATGGTCGTACTTCAACAAAA